ACCATGCTGTAGTTCTCTTCTTAAAAGAAGAGAAATCATGATTATATTTTAAAAATCCCCCTTTGAAAGGAATCATCAGAAAGAGATATTTACAAAGCTGGAAAGCCCTAGCAATTGAGGGTTTTATCACAATTCATTAGGAAGGAAAAAGGGTCGTAATGAAGAGTTAAAAAGCTCTCTGATAACAAATAATCCAGATTCATCTGACACTTTCAAATGAGGTCTAATATTTTCTGTATTAGAACTGCATCAAAGAGTGGGCTCATGTGGGATATGAGCCCACAATGGCCAGGAAGGCATTAGAGGTCTCCCTGATGGGTGGCAGGCACCCACTCCTTGAGCCATCATCACTGCCTCCCAGGGTCTACTTTGGCAGGAGCTGGAGCTAAGAACTGAGCTCCAATGTGGAATGTAGATCTTTTGAGGGCTAGCCTAAAACATCAGGCCCTAGCACTCCACTTCAATGGGTATGAACAGTGAACTGATTCCAACCAAAACATCACCAAATATGGACAGAATTCCATGCAGTATCCATGATCCTTATGTTAACTGGAGTTGCAATCTAAGATTCTCCATCTGTACAGGCCTTATAAAGACAAGAGGTGCGAGGATGGGGATAAGAGAGGAATAGGAAATACATTCCACCCGCCATGAGGCCAAAGCAAATGACCATTGCCAAACCCAACATTAGTAGAGCCAGGAAGTGTTTTTATTCCCTGGAAATGAGGGAGAGGATGTAAATATTTTCCAACAATAACCCAATCCACCACATTGGATGCTCTCTGGACAACCAAAATAATGTGCTGACTCCTACTGTGGCAATGGAATCAGTACCGCTAATCAACCGTGTGAGTTAGCTCTGGCTGCAAGCCTAGGCGTGCCCACCTCCGCAGCACCCTGGGATAGAACTCTCAGCCCTGAGCCTACGTGATCAGCTGTTCTTTATTTTATTACAGTTGAAAATTATTTTATTTCTTTGAAAGGCAGAGTTATATATAGAGAAGGAGATACAGAGAGAATCTTCCATCCTTTGGCTTACTCCTCAAATGGCCGCAATGGCCTGGATTGTTCTGGACTGAACCCAGGGACCAAGAGCTTCTTCTGGATCTTCCACAAGGGTGCAGGAGCCCTAACACCTGGATCCCAGGCATATTAGCATGGAGCTAGATCAGAAGTGGAGCAGCCAAGACTTGGCTGGCAACCATATGTGAGGCTAGCATTGCAGTCAGTAGCCTTACCCACTAGGCTACAACGCCAACCCCAATCCTTACATTTTTTAAGACATTAGTTTCACTTCTCTGCTTATTTTGTACAGCCAGTCAAAAAGGTTGAGTTAGGTAGGTTCTCTATAAAGATATTTGTTTTAAAAAACTAAAGAACCCTTGAGCAGATAGGTGATTCCAAGTTGAGACTGGCACTTAAAATGATACGCTTGGAAAATCAGGTCACACCAACAAGCAATTGAGGGGTCAGCAACTCCTGGACTATTGGCGGGATTTGAACACACACACAACAGGCTTCGTCTGCCCAGGGCTGGGGTACTTGGAGCACTGGCAAGGAAACTAACCAGAAAATCTGCAAAGAAGCGAGAAATATTCAGGGTTTCCACCTAGGAGTTTGGATTTTAAAACAAGGCATAAGAAAAGCACAGAACAGGCCAACCACCCTTGCAGGGCAAAGGGAAGCAGCTCAATCTTTCTGAAAAGAGGGAAAGGATTATGCGCGTGCTCTGCGTTTTCTCTGCGAACCCCCTCGCAGGTCACAAGAGCGGATGGAAGTCAGTTTTATTTACCAAATATTCTAGTAACAAACGAAGAAATTAGGATAAAGTAACATAGTGTGATTTTGCAACCCCTAATGAGTAAAGCAATCCAGGCAGTGGCTTTCAGGGACAGCCGATGTCCCAAGAAGTGAGCGGGCCCTGGGCACTTCTCCATGGAAACAGTAGACCCACTTGTGAACTTGAACCCAATTCAACTCTGGATGTAACCACCAAGTTACTACCGACTGTGAAGACAGGGGCTGTTGAAGGACCCCAGGGATGTCACTACTAACATTTAGAGTTTGGAAAATCACAGGGGAAAAAAGGCGCAGGATTCTCCATTCCTAAAGTATGAGGAAGAGAAAAAGAAAAAGAACCCACGCACTGAAGAAATCAAGAGAGGAAAACTAACGAACCACGAGGTGCACATCTGTCAGGTTCCTGAGCAACAAATACCCCCGAAGCACCATGCGACCGTCAGGGGGCCGGCAGCACTGACCTGCTGTCTGATACTGAGAGATGTGGTTAATTTTTTCTTATAATGAGGCTATTGGCATTTCTTTTGTATATATTTTCCTTTACTTACCACAGCCTTCCTACTTTGTGCTCATGATAGGCATGCGCAGCGGTTGGCTCTCACACCTGCATCAGAGAGCTGCTCATTTGTATTAAATTTGAAAAGCCAATGAATATGTTTGGGGTCAGCAGTATCCGAAAGATTACACGCCCATGGTTCCAGAGTTTAGGACATTTTTGAACTCCTGTTTGAGGGTAACTTACCCCAAGATGAAATGGCATGGTGGCTGGAGTGTCTTCAGTCAGCAGGTGGAGGACAGGAAGAGCAAGGGCAGCCGGCCCTCTCCTGGCCATGGCTGGCTCAGGGCAATATGAGATTTAGTATGTGAATTTTTGAATTGTTGGATGTGACTGAAAATTTCTATGTTCAAAGTCCTAAAATGAGGGCCTGGCATTGTAGCTTGGCGGTTAAGGCCTTGATTTGCATGCACTTGGACCCCATATGGGACCTGGTTCTTGTTCTAGTTGCCCCCTTTCCCATCCAGCTCCATGTCTATGGCCTAGGAAAACAGTAGAGGATGGCCCAGAAGCCTTGAGAACCTGCATGCATGTGGGAGACCTGGAAGAAGCTCCTGGCTTCTGGCTTTGGATTGGCTCAGTTCCAGCTGTTGCGGTCACTTGGGGAGTGAATCAGCAGACAGAAGATCTTTCTCTATCTCCTTCTCTCCAAAAATTGACTTTCCAATTAAAATAAATTAATAAATCTTTTTTTTAAAGTCCTAAAAAGTAAAGACTAAAGTGAAGGCTCACTAGAATAATCCAAACAAACAAAACTCAAAACTGCTTTGGTAAGAAAATGGCAATAGTGGAAAGATGTTAGAGTGAATTCCCAAATTCTGGTTTCTGACCCGGCTTTTCAGGGAAGACGTCTCTCTGACTGCTAAACACCAGAGTTACAACCTCTTGGAAAGGGTGGGCACCTTGCCTAGTGGGTGAGCTGCGAATTGGGCCACCAGCATCCCACATTAGAGTGCCTGGGTTTGCCTTCAAGCTCTGCTTCAGCTGGCTGCCACTGTGCAGCTGCAGCCTGGGAAGCAGCAGGTGGTGATGGTTTCTGCCGCCCTTGTGGGAGACCTGGGCTGAGCCTGGCGGACGTATGGGGAGTGGGCCAGCAGGTGGAATCTATCTATCCATCTCTGTTTCACTGCCTCTGAAATAAACAACAACAACCAAAGACTTGGAACACACTGGGCTGCGTAGTTCATGATCCTTTACAAGCACGAGCATATAGAACACTGAACTTGGTGCTTGCTGAAGTGATCTCTGTGGTGCTTGTGAATTAGACATTGGGTCAGTGGGGTTTGTGAGCAGCACGGAAGCAGCCTCCAACAGAACATGTGAGAGCAGCCGCTTTGGAGCTGGACTCTGGTCTCATAGCAGAACTGACCATCACACTGGGTATGCCGGATGTGTTGGCATTTTAGTTTATAACGCCAGCATGGAGCATTTTTTTCAGCATCCCTACAAATCTTGATTCAGATCTTCTCTATACTATGAGTCTGTGGGTCAAATAAAACGAATAGAAAAACCACTTATTCTACAGCTTATAGAGAATCCGAAAGATTCCAGCTTTGGCTTAGCTGCAAGGCTCCAGGGCTGAGAGATGAGAGCTAGGGAGCAAGCAGTGCAACTGTTTTCTCTAAAAGGAACATTCCTCTCAAACGCACACAAAGAAGGCCAAGATCTGCCAGTCTCGGCAGTCACAAGAGCACGCTTGCTCTACAGCACACACTCTATGATCTGTACACTGAAGGCCTACCACCAACCTACTTGTACTTGGTCAGGGTTTTGAGTTGAAATCTGTAAACAGAGAGGTCATTGCTTGCCAGCTTGCCACCTACTTTAAGAAAGAAGGCAGAATCCAATATTTCTGACCAAGCTCTGCTTGGAAGGGACAATACAACCAACAAAACCCATCTGTATTAGAACAGTTCCACCCAACCCAACTGAATGTAACCAAGAAAACCATGTCAGCTGTCTCATGTTATTCAAAGTTTACATCAAAGCACATAGATTCTAAAGATTCTACTCAAATACTCCAGATATAGTAATTGTCTTCTTACTCCACAATCACTGAGCCTTTACAGATAAAGCACTGCTACGTTTCTTCATATGCTCTTTTCCAATTATTCAGAGATTGTTTCGAGTCTGTGTGTTACCTATATGCTCCATCTTTCAAGTGGGAAATAATGAGCTTTTAACTGTCCCTGCTCCCAGTTTCTCCTATTGCAATGATACACAGGCCCCTAAAGAAGTGTTGAAGAGAGGGAGAGAGTGGGCAGAGAAAGGTTGACAACAGATTAAGCCTAAAGCCTGAAGTATTGTATTATTCTCAAGTTCTAGTTCAAACAAATAATATTTTCAAGACTAAATTTAGAAACAAATCTTTAGACCAAACCAAAACATCAAGAAAAGATACATAGCTTGTATAAGCAAGTGAATTGTTAAATATCACGGGCCTACAGTGAGCAAGGCTTAACAATTCAGGTAACTTGGTGCAACTGTTAACATCAGAACTGAACAATCAACTAACCTTGACCACCAACGACTTAGTGATGAATCCTGTCACACACATACTCTTGTAATAAGTGAAATTAGATTAGTCAGTGGTAGACAATGACACATCTCCACAGCATTCATTCCCAGGAACAAACAGATTTACCTCAGAGTAACTCGGCGAGAGGTACTTCCCATTGCATTTAGCAATCTTCCTCAGAATCTTCAACGCTTTGTCCCCTTCCTTCCGGGTAATCAGCCAGCGGGGAGACTCAGGAACCACCCTGGCAAAGACCAACGCTTTTTTGAGTTATATCCAGGAATTCTGCAATCTGTAAGTTTAAGACTTGAGTTTTTCTATCAAAATGCATTTTGCACTTGTAGGCAAGTTGAGGTTGATAATAAGCTGTTGGAAATGCAGACTGTCTTTGCTGCATGATCAATGAGTCTCCAAAGATTCGCAGGTTGCAGTTTGTGGGAGAATTGCTATGAACCCAAAACTCAACAAATGCTTTTGATGGCAAGGTCATTTCTATCAAATGATCATTGTCTCCACATACTGGACTTTTCATTGCTAAATGGATGAAAAACACGAAATTGATAACTGGATCATTACTCGTAAAAATTATTGATCCTCCTTTGCCCTCCAGGCAGTCTAGAACAGTGTCTGACTACATTTATAAAAACAATTAGGATTTTGTGAAAATAAGGAAAAGATAAAGAATCCGGGGCCAATGTCAAAACATCGCAGAGCAAGTGGCTGCCTGAGGTGCCAGCATCTTATACAGGCAATCACTTGAGTTCCGACTGCTCCCTCTCTGATCCAGCTCCCTGCTAACGCACCTGGCAAAGCAGCAGCAGATGGAACAAACACGTGGATTCCTGCCACCCACGTGGGAGATCCAGTAGGAGTGTCTGGATTCCGGCTTTGATCTGGTTCCAGCCATTTGGGGAGTGAACCAATAATTGGAAAAATCTCTCTCTCTTTCTCTTTTATCCCTTCCTCTAACTCTTCCAACTAAACAAATATATCTTAAAAAAAAAAAAAAAAGAACCTGATTAATGTAAACTGCTTTGCCTGTTTTCAGCTTAAATTAGAGAAATGATTAAAACACACTCAGGGTAATAATGAGCTGTATGCATTTAATTTTGGGAGCTGGCATTGTGGCATAGTGAATGAAGTTGCTGCCTACTGCAGTCCAGTCCCATATGGGTGCCAGTTTGTGTCCTGACTGCTCTCCTTGTGGCCCATATCCCTGCTAAAAGCCTGGAAAAAAACCAGCAGAATGATATCCCAAGTTGTTTGGGTCCCTGTCATCATGTGGAAGACCCAGATGAAACTTCAGGCTCCTGGTTTCAGCCTGGCCCAGACCCGGCCGTTATAGCTACCTGGGGAGTAAATCAACCAGTGTCTCTCTGTCTCTGTTTTTTCCTTCTCTCTCGGTAACCCTAAACTTCAAGTGAATAAACAGTCCTTCAAAAATTACTTCATTTTCTTCTGCTCTTAATATTTTCTTATTCCTTAAAGAATTCCCGAGTAATATTAGTTTGCTTAATAGAATAAAGAAGTAAGCAGATTTCATTGCGTTTAATTTGCACTTCAAGATACTGGCAGGTATAATTTGTTATCTTAGAGTTTTCACAAGGATATCACAGAACAATTAAAACTAATGTTATACTCTACAATTTTGTTTGATTCGTTTATTATTTCTAGTGACAACCCGTGTTAAGTAATCATAAGTAATCTTTCTAAATCTTCAATTCTCTAAAAATTCTCAAAGCCTGTAGCCATTCGGGAAGGTTACAAAGTCTGTATTGTTTTTCATTTTCATGTTGGTTTGGATTCTACATTTTGAGGAACAAGTATAAACACGATAGTATCCAAAACCACATTACCAGTAATAAAGGAGGAAGAGAAAGTTGGGCAGCGTGATGGCCAGCTGGAGCCCTTGCCAGCTGGGGAGAAAGTAGGCGATTCCAGGGAGCAGAATGATGCCGAGGGTGAAGAACATTTGGATCACCACTCCCACAATCCTCCTCTGCTTGGAGCCTACTATTTCTGTGACTGGAGGAGAGCAAGCACAAGTGGTTAGAAGACTCAGGGCCAACTCCAACACAAACACAGAGACATCCCACCTGCTGTCTACCCAGCATGGCTAGAACACCATGGAACTCAGCCCTTGGGGCTTCCCTCTTGTTGTCCTGCTGGAGGTGACCTTTCCAGGCACCTCGGAGCCCTTCCCTCTCTCTTCTCTGCTGGTTACCAAGGTTACTTGCCAAGGACTGCAAATGTTGTTTTTAGGAAAGCTTCAGTAATGACGAGTGGTAATGCTAACCATCTTCAGCCAAACTGACTCCGGCAAGGTAGCTATACTTGGGCACTGTGTCTCTCCTCAGATGCGCAATGGCAGTTATCACAAGATTCGCGATGATAATATCACACTCTACAAATACTTATCATTATCACAAGACGGCTTCTTTTGAATGTCAGTTCTCCCCATGTATTGGACTTCTTGTTGTAATCTTTCCTTCCTGGAATTCTTTCCTCTTCTGCTCCTTCCCAGTAAGTAATTCATGTTTTCCGTTCTCGCTCCTGGGGGGGACTTGCCTTACAGTCACCCCCAAGATCACAGTCTGGAAAATTCACTGAAACTTGGGTCCTGGGACAGCCTTTACGCGACTGGCCTATCCCTTCTACTCCAGCCTGTGATGTTAACTCCCCCAGCACCGCCCACTCTTACCCCACCCACAGGACAATCTTCCTGACTTCTCCCATGTGGACAGTGGTTGGGGATTGCATCGGGTAACGCAGGGTGTGGAAGCTCAAAGAGCTGAAGCAATCATCAGGGATTAAATGTTCCCACTTCCCCGGTCAGGAGCCCACCAGGACTTAGAGTAGGCGACTGCTCCTGGGAAGGAGACAGGCCAAAGAGGCAGCCGGGGCTTTAACCAACAGCACCAGCAGAGAGTACAGGGATGGGTGTCGCAGTCTAGTGGATGAATCCTCACCTTGCTTCCACCAGGATCCCATATGGGCACTGGTTTGTGTCCTGGTTGCTCCACTTCCCATCCAGCTCCCTGCTTGAGGGCTGGGAAAGCAGTCAAGGATGGCCCAAGACCCTGGGAACCTGCACCCTCATGGGAGACCCTGAAGAAGCTCCTGGGTTCAGATCACCTCAGTTCCAGCCATTGCGGCCACATGGGGCATGAACCAGCAGACAGAAGATGTTTCTCCGTCTTTATTTTCTTGTCTCTGTATATCTGCTTTTTCAATTTAATAAGAATAAATCTTTAAAAATAAATAAATAAAAAGTAAATGGAGGTGGGCCTTTCTAGTGGTGGAAGAGGGCAAAGACTCAAAGATCAACTTCTCCTGCGGCAAAAAGCTCTCCACTCACATGGTAAGAAGAGGGCTAAAGACGCTTAAAGAATGCAGGAAAGTCTTTCCAAACCAGAGCACAGCATACACTACACTGCGAAAATGTCTTTTCAGGGTATCAGGTGCAGGAGAAGATGGCGGCCTCCTGAGGAGTTAGGGTTCCTTGTCATTTTGCTTGTTGGAAGAACTTGAAGAAGGACAGACAGAAATAGGTGACGGTCCAGCTAGCTGGGACCTCCCAGATGTCAGAGATACGACACTTACAAGGTGGGCAGGCATGATTACTGGGCCACCAAGAACAAATTATGAGAGCAGGATATATAGCCTAAAAACAGAATATGGACCTAATACACTTCTCCATCGGTAGATTTATAAAGAAAAATTAATATGAATGGGATAAATAGTTCCAGTAAAATGGTGGATGCACAGAGCAAAATTCATAGAACATTAAGGCTGCACTTCAGGAGCTAAGACATCTTATGATGTCCAAGGAAAATATGAAGCTTCCACAGCCACCAGAAAGACAAACACACAGCAATTAATTTTACTGGATTTCAAACTTGTCTTAAATCAACAGCCTTCTGCTCATATTAATGTCTTGATTAAATATCACAATGCAAAATATCCACACATTCAGTAAAGAATTCCAGCTGGCATATATGACCAGGACATTTGTAAGAATATACTTAATATATCTACACCAATATGCTTTCAGGTAAAAGGAGGGAAAATGTGGCACAATTTTTCTTTCTCTTGATGAGACATTGTCATTTAAACATACACCTGGAGTGCTCCAAATGGGATTCGGGTTAACAAGATGCAAGCACGGTGAGGCATGTCAAATGGCAGTGGAAACTGGTGTTTCTGAAAAGTAAAACCCCCAGGAAGGACAGGCGGCAATGACACGCTGTCTCCGTCTTGCTTAGTGAAAGAGCTGCAGTTGAAATTGTTTAAGTAGCAGGTACAGTGAGTATTGCCACAAACTGTGCTAAATTTTGAAGCGGTGTGGGTGCTGAGTACTAATAGTACAAAAAATGTGTTCAGGATTGCTTTGATACCTGTATTTATAATAAAAAAAAAATATTGGGGAGGAGTTGATGAATTTCTTTTAAAAGCTGTTCCTGCATGTTACATGTAACAGTCATGATAAATATTTGCTTACAGTCTTTGTGTAACAAACCATGAATTTAGTTTAAGTCAACAGAAAAGAAAATAGGTATATGAATATATAATTTTGAGATTAAAGTTAGTTTTAAAATGTAAATAAAATGTGGACCGTGTCCTCATTAACTGTACCATTTCTATTATGTTGACATAGTTAATGTGTAGCGCCTAGTCAAGGTGGCAAAAAATGGAATTATTGCAATGTTCCATCCATTAGCACCTTTAATATCATTCTACTTTGCATACTTCCTGTGACTTGGAATTTGCAGAGTATTTCACAACAGAAGGGATTTGTTTAACCATTTCTTGGGCAAGGAGGAACCCCAGGTGTGAGACTTTGAATTTGTTCTCACTAGAGATAATATGAAAATTTTTTAAATTTTCTAACAATTCTTACAGAATTATAGATTGCAAAATATTCAGATATACATCCTGTTTTTCTTCATAATATTCTTTTTTTCTGGGAAAATGTTTGATTAATAGAATAAAATAACTAGGGCTATTTCCTCCTCCAGTTGATGTTTTTAGTATTAAGGATCAATGCTGTGCCGGGCCCTGTACTTGCTAGCACACACAAGAATCTGGTTTGAGAACACCTCAGACAGTTTCTTTAGAGATCTCCCCAATCAAAATGCTGGACTCAGAATCCAAATCAAGAAAAGAGAGAAGACAGAACAGATCAACCAACCATCTCAGCTATATCTTTGCAGCGAAATACGGGGCAAACAGAGACTCTATGATGGACTATGTCAACCAGTGAATTCTTCAAAGACCTCATAGTGCTTGGAGTGGCAAGATTGGCAGCGATTCGTAACTGCTGAAATATCAAACCACCTGAGCAAGAACCTCAGAGCATGCCCGACATCCGGGACCTGGGGAAGGTGGGAAATTGGGTGGGCCTTCTCCCTTAAAACCCTCCTTTATACATGAAGGAAACAATATGGAAAAAATATGGAAAAAATAATAGTCTCACCCACTTTCCTATAGCCCTTGAACCTTTTTACCCTAATTAAGTATATAAAGATTGTCAAAATATAATAAAAAAAATGGAAAAAAAAAAAAGGATCAATGTTCTCCACCCGCAGTCCATTCTAGCTTGTACTGCGTGAACTTGTGTATCTGTTAGGTTACTGTTGACATCAAAGCACTGAGCACGCTGCTTGCTGAAAATTCAATGAAGAACAGAAAAGCGCTCAGGTCAAGTTACCTCTCAGTTTGGCTGGCTAATAATTTTACTCAACCTTCAACCCCAGTTATATAAAAGGTCAACTAGAATTCGATCATCAAAACAACAGTGTTTAAGCCTTTCTTATAATGGAAAAATAATCACCCTGAACACATTAAATATTTTCATTACTTTTATACAAGAAAGGCAGATTTTTCCAGCATGTCACACCTCTCTGTGTGATATACCCATTCACGAAGTTTTGAGTTATCTTTTCTTGGTCAATGGTACAGGATTATCAGTTTGTCTAAGCTTTCTGATTGCCATGCGGCTATCTTAATCTAAGATGCTTAAAATGTTTTAAAACGACATGCAGAGGACACACACATATACACATTTTCATGTGTGTGATTTACTAAAATAGATTCAGAATGAACTATTTCCTTGAAATGCAGTCTTACATGCTTTCAGCCAATTAGAGACACTTCTTTACTCTTGCCCTGTATGGTAGGTGATGGTGTTCAGCATGGCTTCCGCCCAGAGCGCGTCTTGCTGTGCCTGGGAGCTCCTGTGTGAGTGCTGTCTGCTAGCTGAGAGGCCCAGGAATCCTGAAAAGGTATCCTTGTCTTGTTCCCTCGTCCACTGTTGGGAAGTTTCGTACCTAACCCTGAGCTATTGCGGTAAGCCCGCTGTTTATTCCCTCTCTCAGGAACCAACTTGCAAGGCAGAATGGAGATGTCCCTGCAGTCAGACACCTTGCAGCTCACAGGAGGAGTGCATCCAGAGCACTCGCTCGGAAAACTGCCAAGACAGCACTTTCCAAGCAGTTTGCCCTCTGTTTTAAAAAGTGGCTAAGGCCATAGGGAGTGTGGTATTTGCCTTAGAAATTTGGTTAAAAGGCCAGGAAGTAAGATCCATGAGGATGATCCTGTGTTAATAAAGATTATCAAAGTAAAATTCTTGTCCTATAGGCCAAAGGAGAAAGAGAGATTAGAGAGAGAGAGAGAAGAGAATGTTGTTTCAGACCAGTGTCCACTGCCCATCACACAGCATCCCAGCTCTGAGAAGTCCTGGCCGCTCCGCAGCTGATCAGCTCGCTGCTAACACATCCAGGAACGGCAGCAGGCGATGGCCCAAACACTGGGATCCTGGATATCCATGTGGGAGATCGGCCTGAGATGTGACGGCTGTTCGGAGAGTAAACTAGTAGATGGAAGACAGGCCTCTCTCTCTCTCCCTCTCTATCATTCTGCTTTTCATATAAATTTTTTAAATGCTTTCAAAAAATGTATTGCTCGGGCCCGGCGCGGTGGCGCAAGTGGTTAAAGTCCTCGCCTTGCACGCCCGGGATCCCATATGGGCGCCGGTTCTAATCCCGGCAGCCCCGTTTCCCTTCTAGCTCCCTGCCTGTGGCCTGGGAAAGCAGTAGAGGACGGCCCAAGGCTTTGGGAACCTGCACCCACATGGGAGACCCGGAAGAGGCTCCTGGCTTCGGATCGGCATAGTATTGGCCTTTGCACTCACTTGGGGAGTGAATCATCGGACGGAAGATCTTCCTCTCTGTATATCCGCCTTTCCAATAAAAAAAAATAATAATAAAAATAAATCTTTAAAAAAAATGTATTGCTCCAAGAGCTATTGAAATGTTAACAACATTTCTTGATAATAAAGCAAAGCTAGAAAACATGGTAGCGATGGGAAAGCTCAAAAGTGTTTAGGACACCCTCCTATTTGATTTCTAAAGTCTTGAGGCATTCAAGGCTCTACCGCAGCACACACGCTGCCTCGCTTTTGTAGCTGCAGGCAGGACTGTTGGAGCTGCGCGGGCGCCTGGCTTGGGGACCTGCCCAAGGACACAGGGAGAGGCTGGCAGCCAGCACCTCTCAGCCACCCACGCCCGGCTCTCAAAGAGACAAAGGTGTAAAGAAGTCTTACCGATCACGTAGCAAGTCATCCATGTCCCCTTTCCAAACACGCCTTGCAGGAAGCGGAAGACCACAAACACAGAAAAGTTCGGGGCAAACGCCACCACCACACCAGTGATGCCAACGCCGAAACAGGATACTAAGTAAGTGACTCTTCTACCGTACCTTTTAGAGAAAAAGGTTACTTTAAACATCTGCTTCAGCATGTGGTGCGAAAATGGTCCCTAGAAACTGTGTCCTCTATGACTTTATTACCGTAAAGGATTGTGGAGGCTTTCATACCGCAGTAACAATTAAGCAATAATCTATGACACTTACATCTTCTATGGGAACATTGGGTGGTGTCCCAGCTGCTCCCCTTCCAATCCTGCTCCCTGCTAATGTGCCTAAGAAAGCAGCAGAAGATGGTCCACGTGCTTGGGCCCCTGTGCCTCATTGGAACACATGGGGATGGAGTTCCAGGCTTCAGCCTCACCTAGCCCCAGGCATTGTAGCCATATGGGAAATGAACCAGCAGATGGAACATGTTTGTCTGTCTCTCATATTCTTCCTCTAATTCTGCATTTTCAATAAATAACAAATCTTTTTTAAAAATTAAGTATTGCTGAAAAGCTTAGTTTTGGTATATGGGCAAACCAGGGCAAATAAAACATGTATTTCTGAAACGACAAAAAATTTAAAACATAAAGCACAGAGTGCATCCTCTATGACTTCTTTCCAAAAGATGGCCCTCTATTCAATACCTGCTGTTTGACGTCGTCTCCTGGTACTGTAGAAGTGACATTCTCTAACATTTTGTGCTTGGAGTGTTACCGAGAAAGGGGCAGAATGAAGCCACCAAGGTGCCTGATACCTAGGTGTCCTCTCTGAAGCTTGGCTCAAGCACGTACCAGACATGACCTTGGACCAATTCCTAGACTCTCAAAAACTCAAGTTTGATTTCTTTACAGTTTCTAAAGAGAAATAGTGCAGAGGCCCAAAGGAGATGCTATGTGAAAATCCCTTCCACACTCTAAAATGTACCACCCATACTGTGTTGATTTTTGTATTTTCATTATTTACACAAAGATTATTGTATTATTTCATTATTCATCTAACTATCACTATGATCATAATTGTTATTAAGTGATATTACGCACAGTATTCTGAGCAATGTCATGGTTACCACATTTTTCTTCTCTTAATATATTTGTCTAATTAAAAAATATTATTTTGTTATTTCATGATACAGTTCCATAGGCTCTGGGATTTCCCTTCCCCCTCCTCAGATCCCTACCCCTCATTAATTTCCATTTTTAATATTGTAACTATTTTATTTATATAAAGTGAACAAATCTCTTGCATTTATAATACAGATTTACCAGCACAGAAATACTTTGCACTGCGTTATCAGGCTGCTGACTGGTATAATTTCTTGTCAGTGACATCTAAGAAAGTCTACGGAAATCTTGCATAGAAATTCCCATTGAATTTTCACACACAGTATCTTGCTTGAACAACAAAGTGGAGATGGGACCAGCCTTTACTTACCTAGATTTCAGTGGCTTTATGTTTTAGGGAACTTCTCAGTCGGCAGCAAACTTTGAACAGGAAGTATAGAGAGTTCCTACACACAGTTTTCCATCATCAACATCCACTACCAGAGAAGCTCTTTGCCTGCATTGATAGGCCATGACCCAATGGGGTTCACCAGCCATGATCCAATGGGGTTCACCGGCCATGACCCAATGGGGTTCACCAGCCATGATCCAATGGGGTTCACTGGCCATGACCCAATGGGGTTCACCGGCCATGACCCAATGGGGTTCCCTCACACTGGACAGGGACACACGACCTGTGGCCAGTGTACACCATCAGTTTCATGCAAAGCAGTTTCAGCATCAGTGTTACCCCCAACCACTGATATTTGTTGCGTCTCCATGACCTTGTCTTTGTAGACTGTCACCGAGTTGGAATCACACAGTCCACAGTCCTTCCAGGATGGTTTTTCTCACTTAGCAATACGCAGAGAGGGTTCCTCCCTACCTCCTCACGGCCATCGCTCCCTTCTCTTATAGTGCAGGATGACATTTCATCATCATGAATGTTACATCCTACTGAAGGACATACTGCTTGCTCCCCCATTTTGGCAGGTATGCACACAGCTGCCAGACTCCTTCGTGTGTACACTTCTGGGTGAATGCAAGTGTTCAGTTTCTCTGCACCAGAGAGTGTAACTGTGGGATGGCAGGGCCAGAGCATACTTTGTATTCTAAGACACCATCAGACAGACTTCCCAAGCGGCTGCACTGTTCTGCAGGGCCATCGGCAATGAGGACGCCCTCCTGGCCTTTGCTGATGTCGGCATTCCAGATCATGTCATTTACTGGGTTGCAGTGACAGCTGCTGTTGCTTCAATACACATTTGGAACACTATTTCACATGCTTGGTTACTACCTGTATCTTTTTGGTGAACTGACCATCAAGGTTTTGGGGCCATTTTGAAAGATTCATTTATTTGAAAAGGTAGAGTGACAGAAAGGGAGTGACAGATCTTCCTGGTTCACTCTCCAAATGACTGCAACAGCTGGGGCCAAGTCACTCCACAGCCAGGAGCCCAGAACTCCATCCTGCTCTCCTGGGGGAAGAGGGAAAACAGCAGGGACCCAACTCCTTGGGCCATCGCCCAGTGCTTTCTCAGGCGCATTGTCGGGGAGCTGGATTGCAATCGATATAACAGGGATTTGAATGGGCCCCAAGTAGCTGCTTCATGCACAAAGCCTGTTCCTGGGCCATGTTTCAGTCAGGTTGTTTTCCATGAGCTTTGAGTTATTTATATATTTTGAGTGAGTCTTTTACCAGACATGATTTGCTAATCTCTTTCCCAGTCTGCGATTTATTTTTCAACCCCCTGAAAGAGCCTTCGGCAGAGCAGACAATTCTAATCCTACTGAAGTCTGGCTTCCTGACTCTTTTTTCCATGGGTCATACCTTTGTGTCAAATTCCAAGTCACCTAGATTCTCTCCCTTGCATCCTCTTCTAGGAATCTTGTAGTTTTCCAACTTATATTAAAGTCTGCATTCTATTCTGAGTTAATTTCAGGCTGTAAAGCCTGTATCTGGATTTTGTATGTTTATAGATAAACAGTTGTTTCATTTTAGACAGTTATCAATTACTGATTCAATTTACCGACAGTGACAGGTCTGTTCATATAGTCTATTCCTTCTTGCACGAGTGTTTTAAGAAATTGGTCTGTTTCCTTTAGGTTATCAATCTTGTGGCCATAGAGTTATCCAGAGTATTTCTTTAATATCTTTTTGTAAGATTCACTGTGTTCATTTGAGAAATAAGGAGAAGGAAGCAGTGAATGAGAGCTCTTCCATCCCACTGGGTCACTCAACAGCCAGGCTGAAGCCAGGAGCCTGGAACTCCATGAGGGTCTCCCCCAATATCCAGGCCATCTTCCACTGCTTGCCCAGGTGCAGGAGCAGGCAGCTGGATTGGAAATGGAGCATCTGGGACACTAAGCAAGACTCATATGGGATTGTGACCTTACAGGCAGCAGTTTATTCCACTGTACCACAATGCTGGGCCTACCTTCTACAACATTTGTGTCTATCTTTGTTCCCTTTTTAACTTCCACATTTCTTCTGCCTTTGTTGTTTCAGTTGAGCATTTTGTATGCTTTCATCTTTTTCTTCTTTCTCATGATATCATGGTTCTCTTCTCCAAATTTCTCCTCCTTCCGCTGGCATCATTACCAATGTTAACCTCACACATCACAGCATATATAGGCATAGACAATGCCATATATGGAAGCATATGTAATGAAATACACTCTTGCTATGTTTGTCTGAAGGAAACAGTTACCTATTGAATCATTTAGGAGTGAGAGACACAAAACGCTGTCTATTTTAGTTCCATGTATTCTCCCCCGCTGCTCTGCCCCTGGCCTACACCACCTTCCCTGCTCTGAAGCAGGTCTTTCCATTTTGCCTACAAAGCAGGTCTTTCCGCTTTGCCTACAAGGCAGGTCTACTGGGAGCAAAGTCTCTCCATTTTGTTTGTCTAGGAGAATATTTCACTTTTGAAAGATAATTTGAGAGTGAACATTCTTGCAAGGATTCCTCCCCAACCATCTCAATTTTAACTCTTTCACACCCATCTTTTCTGACTTGAACAGTTTCTGAGGCAAAGTCTGGTGGATTTTTTATCGTTGCTCTATCACTGAGGGTTAATTTTTCTCCCCTGCCTTCTTTCAAGGTTTTAATCTTTGATGTTCTGTGGTTTGTCTAGGTACACTTTTATGTGTTTGTTTGTTTGTTTGTTTTGGCATTTGCCTGGCTTGGTATTCTCTGGGTTTTGGTGTGTGGTGTGATCTGGGAGGATTCTCAGTCATGGTTTCCAGGGTCTTCGACTCCTTCCGTCCGCGGTTGGTGCTCCGTCACACTCAGACACACACCTTTGGTGGCCCCCTGCCATCAGTGCATATTCTTCTACCTCTTTTTTTAATTTCAGTCTTCTTTTCTCTTTGCTTTCTGGGTTTGAACGTTTCTTCTGGGATGTCAAGCTCAGAGCTGCTTTTCCCAGTCACGCCCAGCCTCCCAGGGAAACCGTTAATGACATGCTTCATTTCTATTGCGGTTGGGTTTTTTTGGTTTTTTTGTTTGCTTGTTTGTTTTAATTTCTAGCATGTCCTTCGGGTTCCTGCTCCTTCTTAGAATTTCCTCGTTTCTGCTGTTTCTGCTTATTTTGCCCAACTGTCTGTCCCCGGGGGCTCTTAACCAACCAACCACAGTCATCTCAGATCTCCAACTCGGTAATTCCCACACCGTCTCCATGCTTGGATCTGGGACTGACATGTGCTATCTCTTCAAACGGTGCTTCTGCCTGTTAGTAGGCCTAATCATCTTTACCTCGTGCAGGCAGGCAGGACACTCTCTGTAAGAGGAACCTTGGGAAGGGAGACAGATTGACCTGTGGTCAGAGGGGGCGCTCCAGGGTCCAGTGATCGGCTCTGCCCTCCCAGAAGCCTGGCCCTCCGCAATGTGAACACACCAGGGCTTCTTGGTCTTCTGTCCCACAGGGGAGACTGCCCTGACAGGAGCTGGAGATCCATGTAGATGCTAAGTCAGGCTCTGGCTTTTAAAGGGTTTCTCCTGAGGCCAGGCCTCGTGAAGAACAGCGAGTGCAGCTCCTTCCCCTCCTACCTCCTCCTGGATGGAAGCATGAGGGAATTTTTCTTGATATGCTCTTTGGATACCTGATAGAGCTCCTGAAGGTTTAAACAAAAATTCTGGGGCCAGTGCAGTGTCGGCATCCCATATGGGCGCCATATAGAGTCCCTGCTCCAGTTTCAATGCAGCTCCTTGTTACCGAATCCGGGAAAGCAGTGGCAGATGGCCCATCTGGGAGATCTGGAAGAAGCTCCTGGTTCCTGGCTTCAGATTGGGCCAGCTGTGGTCATTGAGATCATTTTGGGAGTGAATCAGATGAAAGATCTCTCTCTCTCTCCTTCCTCTATGCAACTTTGCCTTCCTTTCCACCCCCCAAAATTTTTTTAAATAAATCTTTTTTAAAAAATCACAGCAACATGGCCCCTCTCCCAGGGTCATCTCTCACACTCTCCCACGGAGGCCCCAGCAACCCATCCGTGACAGTTGCGGCTTTCCTGCCCCAGCACCAGGACCCATGGCAGCACTGCTCATGGAGCCGTGTCTCTCGCATTGATCTGTCTTCCTCTCAGTCACGTGACAGTAGGATGCCCTGCGAGGCCACTTCTCTGACAGATCTCAGGTGAGGTGAGCAGTGGCTTTTCTCTCTGTTCAGCTCTCAGCTTGTCCTGAGGACTGAGTGCTGCCTTTCAGGCTTCTTACATGCAGAAGTCCAAATGTGGGATGTGAAATTCGCTCTCTCCCCTTCGGGCCCCATCCCCTAGGAGCATGGCTTGCTCCCTTGTCTTCTGCCCTTCCTTCCAGGATGTCAATTACAGATGGAGGCGAGAAGCAGCTGAGAATAGCCTCAGCACGAGACTAAACGACCCGCACTTGGCCCTGGGCCCAGGGCTGGCTGGGTCCCTGCAGAGGCATCTGCGGTGCCTGCCGAGGACCCCGGAGGAGGAAGTCCTCCATCCCCTAGTTCCTTCACTATGCAGCTGGTGCTCCGGATTGTGAGGGTGGAAAATGCAGAATAAACAAAACCTAATTTAAATCACCACAAACATTTTCATAATTAGAACTGGGATAAAGGAACTGAGTTAAAGAGGAAGCCAATAACCAGCAATGGAATCAGAAGCAAGATACTCAAGTAGAAAGCCCAATGGTCTTAAATGTATACACCCACCATGCTTTGCCACTGGCTGGTTACATTTATGAATAAAAAGAGGTAAAATTCTTTGAATGGTTTTTGGAAAAACCTGTTTTTACAACATTATAAAGCTGCAGAACAGAATAAAGTGGAAAAACATGTGCTGTGGGCAGGGTTTAGCAACTAAAGTCGTTGACCTTCCACCAGTGAGTTATCACAGGATCACCTGGGCTTGGTGCACATCATCCAGCAAAACCCATCTGCCCAACGACAGCCCTGTCGCTGCTTCATGAGTCTGCGTGTCCACTCAGGTCCTTCCAGACCCACTGTGAACAACTCAGCTTCTTCATACAGCTCAAGGAGTACTGAGGTGAGATCAGGTAAGTGCAAATGTCATGAGTTATTTTTCGGAATTTAACATGCATACTTGTCTCCCAGCTGACATGAAGTATTCTCTCTGTGCAGGCACGTGTAGTATTGGAGTGGCATAAGAGGGTCGCCATTTCCATACCCACCTGTCTGCTGCGTAGCCTAAGGTGAACGCTCCAGCTAGAAAGCCAAGGTTGAGGATGGCTTGGGTGAGATCCAACATCCATGCATTGTCACACACCAGGTCAAACTGGGAAAAAGAAGAAAACACACATGGAGGTGTGGGGATGTGTACCTCAAACACCATACTGATCAAGGATGTTTACATGTTTTGCTCAAACACTACTTCACTAAATTTAGAAGCTGTATTCCAGGCATATTTTACACTCAGAGGTGATGTTTTCTTTGTCACTTTAAGTGTAAAGGATGTAACTTATGGTACATTGTAAATATCTGTTAATATTACATCATTGGATGGGTCATATCACAGTCACAGGGCACATTCCATCCTCTGCCCGCATGACTCGATATCAATCTTTTTTCTCTTTGATTGCTATTCTCATTCCCACCTCCTTCCACCCTAGTGTGATATACTTCAAGTAGAAAATGTTTTCAATCGGTTACTTCACCTTGCTTCTCTGTAATAGGAGTTATGTGTATCAGTTGACATGTACATTCCAGATATTTGCTGGGACAACAGTCTATAACTGTTAGATGTATTTCTGATTGGTTTATAATTATTATTACTTTTAGGCTGCATCAAAAACTACATAACAAATCATGAAGAATAACAGTTTCCCAGGAATAAAATTTGGTTGGCGATGCATTTCCAGAAGTGAAGCTGGGGTTCCCACTGAGATTGTGAAATCTCTTGATAAATTTATTTACTGTTAGAGCCAGTCAGGACTAAATGTTCATGCTATGCCTGTTTTTAATGCTTTCAAATTTGCAGTCCAAGAAACATTGTATCAGTAAAGGGCACAGACTGGGCGTCGTCACAGTAGTGCTACTCCATTCTTGGAGCTCTTCTCAGAGTGCTGAACTTGACCAAGATCTATCATCACAATGTATTTATTTTCCTGTTACCAACACATCAACGAAGGCCTGAAAGACCTTGGCATGAGAGAAGAAATGGAAACCACCGTACTTAACACAAGTCATTGAATTATTAACCAATTTCTTTCTTTGTCGTTTTTTAAAAACCAAGGCCAGTAGTTCAGATTTTCCCATGGTTTGGTTTGGTTTTAAAACCTGTAATCAATGCAACAAGGAGTTGCTAATTTTACACATTTGCAGCAGGCCAGGTTTGGGAAGGGCTGTCGGTCCTCACTAGAGGATGGTTCTTGGGATGAGGGCTAAGGTAGGACTCTGCAAACAGGTTCTCTAAGAAGCATCCTCCAGCACTGGCGTGTCTTCGCAAACCTTCCAAGCATGTGCTGCTCCAGCTGGAAGACCACTGCATCAGACGGCGGCAAGCAGAGGAGCTTTCTGTTGCGGGAGCAGCAGCTATTGAGTGGGTTCTTAAATATATATCCAGAAGCAAACTGCCACCACTTATTTATGAAACCAATTTCTCAGTTCTGTAGACAATCACCTCCACCTCCCTGAGCTGGCAGACAAATTCAGAGCAATAGAAGCCAGCCCTGACAAACCAGGGGAAAGATGAGTTCAGATTTAGAAAGTAAGTAGACAACATTTATGTATGCTAATAGCCATTGTCCTGATCGCTGGGCCTTCATCTCCCATTTTTGTTTCTCAAGGCATGACAATTTTATACTAAGTGAACCTGCAGTAATTTCCCACTGGGATCAAACCAGGAAAGAATGTGACTGGTGTGAAGTAGGGTAGGATCGCAGCAAGCAAACAAACCATGTCACCAGCTGAGAAAACATGAGTGCTGCTGGAGAAGCGCATCTGCCAGCATCAGACAGACCCACGCAGGCCAATTCACTCCAGCCTACTCTCCTTTTCCCAGCTGGCTGGGCCACCAGGGATTCACAGACCACGGCAGACCCTTTTAAGGAATTTGGTCAGCTGCCTTTGAATGGAATCAATAAAATGCTCCCTCCCCATCAAATTCTTTAATATCAAGTGAATAAGCATCGTTACCTCCCACAAAAGAATAATCAGACTTTTTAAAATACTTGATATCAAATCAAAGATAAATAAGAATGGATGTCCACATGGCTAATGCACTGTGATGGCTGACTTTCTAATGTTCCATCATGGTTACATCCAGGCCTGATGTCTGCCCTTCTTGGGTTTCCATACCCTACAGCTAGCATGAGGAAACTACATTTCCCAGAACCCTTTGCCAGCAGGTAGTGCAGGATCAGAATGTAGAAGGCAGGCAGTTAGGATCCTTCTCTGCCTTGGCAGCAGCTCCAGCTCTAATCCCAGCAGTGGCAGCAGTTGTCAGTGGAGACCAGGGTTAACCAGGCTGGTACCCACAGTTCAGCTGTGTGGGAGCAGGGGGCAGGACCCCCGCCAGGTGCAGCAGGCTTTGTTATGGCTGCTCAGCAGGACAGAGGCTGACCAGCAAAACTGCCCTTCCTGGTTTCTTCCTTGTCCTTTCCCTAGCCCTTCTGAAACAGCTCAAACACAGATCCCTTTTTTAAATGCCTTTCTGCTTAAAATACCTAGCCTGGTTTCTATATGCACAACTGGGATCCTGCCAGTGTATAGAAGTGCCAAAAAAGCAAGTGATCTATCTACTCTCTCTCTCTCTCTCTCTCTCTCTCTCTCTCTCTCTCTCACACACACACACACACACACAGAGTTTCCAGTGCAAGGAACACTGAAAATGCAAGTACTCAAGACTGCCATTGTGGCATTGACTGCCGCTCACACAGTTGGGGCCTGGGCCTCTGGGGCTGGAGCTTCTTGCACAGCTCATTCACCACCTGCTGCCACAACAGTCCGGGCCTGTGGGCTGTATGGGGCATGAAAGAGCAGTCAACAAGCACTGAATCTGTGATACGCATGTCAAAACACAGAGCCCTGGACGCTTGTCACAGCATCTAGAGTACCTCCAATCCACCTATCGTTGCTAGGAGGTCCTTGTGGGTCACTGAAAGTTCCCCTGACCTAAATCAAAGACAGCTCACATCTTCTCAGGACAGAATCTATGCAGAAGTCAGACATTCCCAAGTGTTTTTTTTTTTCAAAGTACACACATGCAAAACATAAAACTGTTAAAACTCATAAATCCACGTGTTCTCATTCTGTTATTTATTAATCTTCAAAGTCACTTTTATACAAAGAGCATCACTCCCTTTGGCATGAGTAGAAAGTCAATCTGATAAAAGACTCAAACAACTGCTCATGCAATGCCAAAAGGATTACATTGCTTCATTCTGCAGAGAGCACTAACAATGCTGAGCCAAATTAGATCCTCTAGAAGCATTTCCAACTCAGGGTGGTTCTCGGCTAATCCAGGTTGTTAAAATCCGTACAGACGTTCTGTTCATTTGAGTTGCTGTGGCAAAATACTAGGCACGTTATTATTAGATACTCATAGAGTGAAGGTTGTGGTTTCTAGGGTGGGTACTTTGCCTAGCAGCTAAGATGCCAGTTGAAACGCCCAAGCTCCATACTGGCACATTTGACTTTGAAACCCAGCTCGAGCTCCTATCTCCTCCACTCCCTGGTGATGCAGACTCTGGAGGCAATAAGGATGGCCCAAATAGTTGGGTGCCCACCACCCATGGCAGAGACTGAGGCTGTGTTCCCGGTCACCAGCATTGGCTCTGCTCATAGCCAGCTGCTGTGGGCATTTGAGGAGTGTTGTACTTTTTAAAATACGGTTTCTAAATCATCCTTAAAACTAGAGCAAAAGTATATCACCAACATACAAAGGTCAATGACAAGAAATAAGGCTCAAGTCATGCAAGTGTGTCAATGGCTTGGAAACTCCGCAGGTTGGGTGTCAACTTGCTCCTGAAGCCACAGGTAACGAACCCTGGCCTGCCGTGTGTCAGTCAGTCTGTCATAAACCAACTCTTGCAGGAATGATTTGAAGATGCGAGAACCTCATCACATTTAATCGCAGAGGGAGCAAGAATATCTCTGAGGTCTGTCTGGAGCTTCTAGGCACCCTGTTTCATTTTTCCAAGAAGAAGCTGCTTGTTAGTTTCCATGGCATTTGTGCCAAAGCTGCTGCGTCGGAAGGCTGGTCCCCAGGGTGATGACACTGAGGTAGTGAGGCCCAGTGGGAGGCACTTGGGCTTTGGTGGCGCACATGTGCAAGAAATCCATGTGTTCCTCACTGATCGTTAGTTCAGGGCCTGTGGGAGTGAGCTGTCACAGAGAGTGAGCCTCGCTGCCGCACTGCTTGGGTTTCCTGTCCCATTCCACCACCTCTCCACACCCGCTCCTGCCATCAGAACGCCATCCACCAGGAGACCAGAGAGATGGGGCCACCTGGTTTTGGATGTTCAACCCCCCAAACTGTGATGGAAATAGGCCTCTGGATAAGTTCCAGCATCTGGTGTTGTTGCAGGTGAGAGCACACTGGGGATAGAAGTTGTAAATGAAACTAATCCTTATCAGAGTTTAGCTTGAAGTCAGAAGCCGGGAACTTTTTCAACCACAATAAAAAACGTCACTGCCATGTTAGGTGTGACTACAGGTGTGCTGTGGCCCTGGCTACATTTGTCACTGGACAGAACAATGACAGGCCAGTCTTCATGGGGCAGCTTCCACTTTAAATCAATAAGGCACCATAACACAATCTCAACAGGGTCAAAAACTACGATAATAATTAAGAAAATGGTTGGATTGACTTTTCATGGATGCTACTGTTAATTCCAGTCTTGGTGAAATATCTTTCATATGATCTGGTAGCCTCATTTGCCAAATCCACTTAACATGAAGAAGCTTACAAATCTCTTATAGGTATGGACCACAGGTAAGCTGCAGGTACACATCCACTGTGTGTCTATAGGTAGGACAAACATGAGGTGCCTGGCACCGTGACAGTTGAGGCTGGGTGAAATCCCAGGGATGGGTGCCATCTCGCTTCTGCCTCCAGGAACTCTGGGAGCTGATGCCAGTTTCTGGCAAGCACATGTGGAACAATCGAGATCTAAACCATGTGGGGCTGAGCCTGAGTGGAGGAGGACTGGCCGCCGAGCAGTGGGGCTGAGCGGTTGGGTCTGTGAAGGAGATGGAGGTGGTGACCAGGTCCTGCAAAAGTGAGTTCAACTGAGGCAGAAGTAAAACAGAAAAGAGGGAATCGAGGAGAGGCAG